AGACGACGCTACAATTGTCAACTCAACCCGTCCTCTTAAAAATAACGTCACTTTTGGCTCGTATGCGCGCTATGGCCAAATTTGGACGTAATTTGAAATGAAATCGGCTCACAAAAGTGACGTTCTGTTCCATTTTCTATTCGAGTCGTCCGGCTTACGCGCAGAGGTTATAAGAGGACACTTTAAATTAACGTTTTTCATAACGTTTTGAAACTTTATGAGAATTTCCTGCCCACCTAACCTATCAGAGGACCCTTAACTACTGTTGTTGAAAAAAAAATCCCAAATTTATTTTCATTTTTTTTTCATTCTCAAATTACGTCCATATTCGGCCATACTGGTAAACGGCCAAGAGCGACGTTCTTTTTAAGAGGACAGGTTGGTCACCTCCCTCACCAAAATAGCTCCTCCCAACATACTCCTGTTGCTGTTACTACACTATATACACACATTGTATATGTACACCCATGTACATATGTGTTCACCATAGCAAACCACTAAGCATAGTATGATGAGCAAAACAAAGAGTGGCTGCCACACGTGAGGCTACCTCGATTCTCCCTCTCTCCCTCGCCACAATTACTCCTCCCACAATACTACGCACATATGTACATGGGTATATACACACATTGTGTATACCCATGTACAAATGTGCTCACCATAGCAAACCACTAAGCTAGTATGATAAGCAAAACAAGAGTGGCTGCCACACAGTGAGGCTACCTCGATTCTCCCTCGCTCCCTCACCACAATTACTCCTCCCACAATACTATGCACAGTGCTTATTATCACCACAATCCTGCTGTTATCATAATACTGGTCACTAAATCCTGTAAATACATAATTAACCAAGTTTTTGTAAAGGAACTTAAGAAGTCGTTTGAAGATTCCTAGATGGACGAAATAATGCTGTGGTGCTGTGGCTAGCGCTGTGAACATCGTGAACAGCATTGAATCACTAATATTTCAACATTGTACACAGTCATTATCACACTCGGGCTCTTCTGTAATACAATGGGGCCTCGACTTACGATGCTAATCCGTTCCCAGAGACGGATCGTAAGTCGAAGCGATTTTTCCCATAAGAATTAAAGGGAATTGAATTAGTCCGTTCCCCGCCCTCCAAAATATTAACATACAAATACATTTTATACTGAATACAATGTTTTGTTCTAACTACAATACAGTACCAAAGTGTCTCTTACCTTTATGGAGGGCTCTTGATGGTGTATGGAAGATGGTGATGAGGGGGGAGGAGAGTTGTTCCTGTTTGGAAGGGGAGTCCCCTTCCATCATCACATCAGGCAGTGATGTTTTCTCTGTGGATGTTTTCTCTCTCCTACGTTTTGCCTGAATACCACTAGGACCTGGTTGTGGTTCAGTGCTTGTTTGTCTCGCTACAAATTTGTCAAGAGACATTTGTTTTTCCCTTCGTTTTAACATTTGTCTGTAATGATGCATCACAGTGTCATTGAATAGATTAAGGCAACGACCTACTGCAGCTTGATTTGGGCGAGTCATTTCAGCAAAGGTTTGCAATTCTTCCCATGCTGCACACATTTTCTTAATTGTTGAGGAAAAGACATTCTGTACTCTTGTTTCTGCTCTATGGTCATCCTTACCTGGCTTTTCAAATGTTGAGCCTTACCACTGACTTTCCTGGGACTCATGGCGTGTTATATAATAATTACTTTAATGTTCAAAATGCAAAAAATCACCACAAAAGTGGAGTTTCTTATAGGCGCGATCGTCACTAAGCGGGCAGCTGTAGTAAACTGAGGCAGGTCAGCCGCGTGACTGGGAACCACGCGCTCGGTCAACCCGAACGTGTACCAACAAATATCAGAAGTCGACGACACCATCAGATGTCGAGTCGCATTTTTCGATGAAATTTACATCGTAACTCGAAATTATCGTAAGTAGGGGCAATCGTATGTCGAGGTGCCACTGTACTATCATGTCTAAATAAAATAAGTTTTATATATATTTTGACATTAGGCGATGCTGTGGTCACAAGCTGAACAGCAGTGCTGTGAGCTCATGCTGCGTGTGCCGGCCTTGGTTGCTCACTCGCTACTGAGGCTCTCACACCCGGGAATGTGGACCACGATTTTTTTTAAAGATGGTGTCTGTTTACAAGTCAGGAAGTCAGTGTTTACAAGTTGAGGAAGCTGCTGTGAACCCCATGTAGCCGCGGGAGTTTTGAATGGAACGTGAAAATACAAATACCCGGAGGCGCGTAGCGCACCCCCAGATGTGTGTCTGCAGGCGAGTTGCGCAGTTAAAGGGTTAAGAAGAATTTACAATATTATTAGCTGGTGAATTTAATTTTGGTGAGGTGGCAAATATACTGTATCCTAATTTTCTAGGGGAAATTCCACTGCAATCTCATTTTCTGGCAAGAGATGCCAAAACACCGTTTTCTTAGTGGGATTCACAATGATGTTTTATTCTAATTAGTCTTAGTACAAATCAGCAGCAATATTATCTGCATATTGAATTGGGAGTTAGTAAATAGTGTCTGTGTTTCTGACAATCTTTACTCTCTCGGTGTTAGATAAAAATGTTAGTTAAAATTTGAAGTATGCAACATGAAATAAGAGTGCAGAGTTAAAAATGAACGGTGGAAGAGGTGATGAATATAATAGCCAAAAGGAATATTATTGTAGGAGTAAAGGACTGAGACAGTATGCTAAGAATTATTTAGAAATAAGGAAATTGCTTTCTTGATGGAGTGAGTGTGTATGTATGATTATTTATATATATATATATATATATATATATATATATATATATATATATATATATATATATATATATATATATATATATATATATATATATATATATATATATATATATATATATATATATATATATATATATATATATATATATATATATATATATATATATATATATATATATATATATATGACCGAAAAAGTAAGATTAATAATTCTAACACGAATTTTCTCAATATTTCTTATATTTCTTTTCACTGTTGATGGTAATTGAAAAATCAATTCTCCAAAATTCATTTTTATTTCTAGTCTGACGCGACACTTGAACGCGTTTCGTAATAACTTATTACATTTTCAAAGACTTTAGTTTACACACACACAACTATAACTTGCAAACACTAAACAGAGTTTAAACAGCTTTGATTTTATACCTGCATTTGGGTGAGGTGATATGTTACAACAGTTACATATCACCTCACATATCAGATAGCGGACAGTGTGTATCGTGATCCGGCCTGTACACCTCTTGACATACCAGAAAACATTCTAAGGAAACTACTCCAAGCTTGTACTAAAGAGGCACCCTTCTTGAGCCCGGATGGGCTCATGTATAAGCAAGTAGATGGGGTCGCCATGGGTTCTCCCCTAGGTGTCCTTTTGCGAACTTCTACATGGGTACCATCGAACAAAAGGTCTTAGTCGACGTGGACTTGAAACCGGCCATATACTGCAGGTATGTTGCCGACATTTTTACACAGGTACCTGATGTCAGACATCTGCAGGAGTTGAAGGAGGCATTTGAGCAGAATTCTGTGTTGCGTTTCACTTACGAGATGGAGAAGGATAGGAAGCTGCCCTTTCTAGATGTAACAGTCATGGAAAGGAGCGGAGGTTTCCACACTGCAGTCTACACTAAGGAAACAAACATAGGAATGTGCCTCAATGCCAACAGTGACTGCCCAGACAGGTACAAGAGGAGTGTCGTTAACGCTTATGTCGACCGTGCTCTCAGCCACAGGTCAGGATGGAAGCAAGTCGATGAAGAACTATGTAGGGTAAGGCAGGTCCTAGTCAACAACGGCTTCTCCAATGGTTTCGTTGAAGACATCATAAGAAGGAAGGTGAAACGCCATGCAACCTCTGAAGAGACAACTAACACAACACCTGTACCCCCTATTAGACTATTTTACAGGAACTTCTTTTCCACAGCTCATAAAATGGAGGAAAGGGTCCTGAAAGATATTGTTAATAAAAACGTTATCCTTACAGACAAAAATCAGAAGATACAATTGACGATTTACTATAAAACCAAGAAAACGGCCAACCTACTCATAAGAAACTCTCGACACACAAAGCAGAACGCTTTAAAAGAGATCAATGTCGTCTATGCCTTCAAATGCCCACTTGGGGACTGTAAGCCTCAAAGAATTCAGTATATAGGCAAGACAACAACATCTCTTTCCAGGCGATTAACGATGCATAAGCAACAAGGCTCCATTAAGGAACATATAATCTCTTCCCACAACCAGACCATCACCAGAGAAGTCTTAACAAAAAACACGGAAATCATCGATAGATACAGCGATAGCAGGCAGCTTGATATCTGCGAGGCACTACACATTAAGAAGTCGACACCAGCAATCAACAGCCAATTAATGCACAACTATATTCTACCCACTTCAAGACTCCGCATTAATATAGAAGCATCAAGAAATATGGGCCAATAGGCCCCTTGCAGTTACTTCCATTCTTCCCTTTAACTTACAAAATATTATACCCATTGTTTCGTGTTCTGTCTTGTGTTGAAAGTTTGTTTTCACCTCATCCATAACTGTTGTAACATATCACCTCACCCAAATGCAGGTATAAAATCAAAGCTGTTTAAACTCTGTTTAGTGTTTGCTATACACAACACACACAACAAGTTATAGTTGTGTGTGTGTAAACTAAAGTCTTTGAAAATGTAATAAGTTATTACGAAATGCATTCAAGTGTCGCGTCAGACTAGAAATAAAAATGAATTTTGGAGAATTGATTTTTCAATTACCATCAACAGTGAAAAGAAATATAAGAAATATTGAGAAAATTCTTGTTGGAATTATTAATCTTACTTTTTCGATCATATTTAACAATATATGTCTACAGGAAATACTGCTACCAAAATATACTTTATATACTGTATATATATTTAATTTAATTTATATTTTTCCTGCTTTTGAGCAAAATTTTCATATTTGTTTGTATCTTGTCCCACAGATGTTGAACAAGACTTGGTATGAAAGTCAACAGAAGTCACTGAGAGGTGAAGGTGAAATGAAAGACCCACTAAACCAACCCTTCCCCTTCACAGACTAGAAAGCCAATTATTGTCTTCACATAACATAAACATTCTTTTATTCCAAGCAATAAATGTATAGATTGTATCTTATTGAAGTGTTTTAATTTGTTCTTGTCAGCAAGTCACATTTGAGCTTCAGTGTGTTGCAACATTTCTCAAAGTGAACTGTATAGACCAATTTTTTTTTTTTTTTTGTCAAATACAGTATATAACTTTTATCTATTGGTGTGCTGTTGCACTGCTGTGAAACTAGTTTAAATTATTCATATACTACTAATTGCAGGTCAAGATTGCGAGGAACATGCTTCATTAAATTATCTATCTGGTTGTTGAATTTGTTAAACTGTGAGTTATGTGATGCATTTATTGACTTAATTATTCACCGAATACTTTTATGAAAAAGACAAATTTAGGTTTCATTTATATTATGTCTAGGGGTCAGGTAAGTAGTGTGAGCACCCATGCTGGAGTTGGGTAGCCACTACACAACTAATGTTACATTAACTTTTATGTGTTCCTGTATACTGAGTCGTCATTGTTGACCCTTTAATTTAATTGAATAAACACTCTTCTTCATAAAATGTAATTTCTCTATCCTAAGATATTCAAGGGTTCAAATTTTGTCAGCAGAATGTTTTGTGGTTAAAGTACTCTTGTGTATTATTTGATTGCCAGGGTTCAAAATTTGGCACTTCACTGTCCTTACAGGTCTCTCCCTAGGCCTGTGCAGGTTCCTCCTAGGCCTATACAGGTCCCCATAGGGCCTATAGAGATCCCCCTAGGCCAGTACTGTAGTTCCCTACCTTTTCTGGGTGGAGTCCCATCGGCTCCCCGGAGCTATCCAGGCTGATATGAATATATTGTATTAGCTTTCTGTTATCAATGTGCATAGAGTTCTTGCCTACCGAGGACCATGATCCAGAACTTTTCCCCCTCAGAGTGGCATGAGGAGCAATGGCCTATGGAAACCCCAATGTGGTTGGGAGCATTCTATGTTTGTGGGGATTTCTACTTTGCTATCCCGACTGTAATGCATGCAACGTCACCAATGTACATATGGCAGACGCTTCACGAAGCTGTTGGAATCCAGAAGAAAATACGAGAGCAAGCGTACAGGGCCTGGGAGCAAGGTCGAGTTCTTGATGGTCTCCTCTCAGACTAGCCTCACCAGGACCTAGATTCACGAAGCTCCATGTATTTCTTCATAAGTAGGTTTGCTACGAAGGTTCCCAAGTATGCCCTAAGAAGATACTTAGGTGCAATTCACATAGATCCACTTTGGAAGATATTTGGGTTCTGGGTCTGGTTCACTTGCGTGCCGATAGAGGTCACTACTGTGTTTTGTTTGGCCAATCAGAGAGCAGGCAACAGTCTTCATATTGAAGATTTAGCGCTGGCTTATCGGAGCTCTACTGCCTCCTATTTACGTAGAATTTTCTTATAAAACTAGTATATTTTGAAGTAAAACTATGTTTTTTCAACTTCTACAGGCAGCACCGACATTCTAGTACACAAATATGTTACATTTGTTGTTTATCAAGGGGCCTCGTAGCCTGGTGGATAGCGCGCCGGTCTCGTAATTCTGTGGCGCGGGTTCGATTCCCGCACGAGGCAGAAACAAATGGGCAAAGTTTCTTTCACTCTGAATGCCCCCTGTTACCTAGCAGTAAATAGGTACCTGGGAGTTAGTCAGCTGTCACGGGCTGCTTCCTGGGGGTGGAGGTCTGGTCGAGGACCGGGCCGCGGGGACACTAAAAAGCCCCGAAATCATCTCAAGATACCTACGTAATTCTAAGAGATACAGGCATACCTCAGTTTAAGAGTTTAATTGGTTCCTGGAGACGCCTCGTATTCCGAAAACTCGCATTCCGAAGCTAATTTCCCCATAAGAAATAAAGGGAAATGAATTAATCCGTTCCTGACTACCCCAAAAACCCCACGTCAAACTAAATTTTTATACCTAATTCATCTTAATAAACCTACAAAACTATGTTCAAGTTATTACTTACCTTGCTGTTGAATGCTGTAGGCGTATGGAAGATGGTGAGGAGGTGGGAGGAAGAGAGGAGTTACTGTTTGGAAGGGGAGTCCCCTTCCATTATCACATCAGGCAGTGAGGACTTCACTGGTATGCACACACTGGCACATTTTGCCTGCATACCACTAGGACTTGCTTGTTTTACTAAGAATTTGTCTAATGACACTTGTTTTTCCCTACATTTTAACACTTGTCTGTAGTAAGACATCACATTATCATTTAAAAGGTCAATGCAACGGCCTGCTACAGCTTTATCTGGGTGAGTTTTTTCAACAAAACTTTGCATTTCTTCCCATACTTCACACATTTTCTTAATCAAGAAGGGACATCCTCTACTGTCTCTACTCACAGCTATTTTCTTAGGTTGAACCTTACCAATGGCTTTCTTGAGACCCATGGCAAGATATATAATGACAACTTTTATGCTCAAATGGCCAAAAAAACGATAAACTGTAAATCCTTGTGAAGAATTCAGGTGGGATAGTCACTTGGCACGAGACACTGGTAAACTGAGGCGCGATCGCCATGCCACCACGCGCCAGTCGGCCTGTACACGTATCAACAAACTCGCGTCCCGAGGTAACCCTCGCCTTCCGAGACATATTTTTGGAGTAAATCCTGCTCGTCTTCCGAAAAACTCGCATACAGGGACACTCGCATTCCGAGGTACCACTGTACTGTGTAGCTGTCCTTGTTGCTCGGAAATGCACTGACAATTATTGTATATATTTACTGAATTTACCCAAGGGTCACTATCTAATGGCCTCGACGAGGACAGAAAGCCGGCGGCTTGTTAAAGGGCCCGCCAATTGTCTTAGTTATATTTTTTAGCTGGAATTTGGCATTTACGGCTTCAGTGGGTAGGCAGTTCCATGGGTTTATAACCCTCTTGGTGGAAAAAACATATGTTTTCAGTCCTCCTTGAGAGAACATACTCTCCAAAATATATCTGTGATTGCCCTGTTATCAGTGACTTCATACTAAATGGTATGAGGTACTTTGAGCTCTGTAATTACTTCATACACTCAGGAATATTGGAAGATATTCTTGTGCTGCACCCAGATTTTGCCAGTGAAGGCTAATAGATCAGCCTTAAGTATTTTGTTCTCTCCTGATTCCATGTATGACTGGCCATCCTGTGAGGTGAGGATGTTGAATGAGCTTGTAGCTGGGTTTTGATCTACACTGTGTGGTCCTTCATACAAAATAGGGAAGCAGTACATTGCTGTGTATACCTAAACATGTTAAAAAATACATTGTTTGAGAGGAGTCTTGTAGAAACTGGTAAGAGTAATTATAATGTTTCCATGATTCAGTGCTTACCTCTTGTGAAAATCGTGAAGAGTTGTTTAGTCAGAGTTGATTAGTTTTTTGTATCGAGGCTGGTATTTTCTACCTTGATTCCATGTATGTCTAACCATCCTGTGAAATGGGAGTATTAGATAAACTTATAGCTAGTTTTTTATCTACACTGTAATATTCCAAATAGAATAGGGTAGCACCACATTGCTGTGTATACCTAATCTTAATAAAAAAAAAATCGGTAATAAAGATTTTAAATTATAGTTTGTATTATTACAAGTACTGTATTTTCCTTATTAAATCATGTTAACCATGGATCATTAAGATCTCATGTTGATATTTAAGTCATATTTCTTTTGAGCTGCTAATCCATGCTAATCATTATTTAATCATTCATTAAATTGTGCATTATGTCTCAATTTTTCACTTCCTTGGATATACTGTACAGTACAAAAAGGCATACGCCAATCGTATTGGCGTATGCCTTTCCATTGGAGACTTTCAGCGCCGTGGAGAGGGGGGCCCTGCTGCCTGAGTAACAGCTTCTCCCCCGAATCAACCTACCCTGGCTTTGCGTCCTGGTGAGGCCACTCCAGACCGACAACCAGAGCGCAACTCCATAGTCTCCCGAGACTGATGGATGCCTACTACAAAAAGATAGGATAAAAACAAACCAGTAATATTTCTTTCATTATATTTTTTATTTAAATAACTGCATCAATATTTTTACAGCTGACAGGATTTGTTTTACCATACAGGTGCATTATTTGTTAAAAATTTTTAGTTTATTGTTACACACAATGGTGCTACATAGCCTTCCCAGCTTGATGCCTTCTTTTAATACTTACTGATTAATAAATAAATAATAATAAATAAATTTTATTTAGGAAAAGTACATACAGTTGATTTACAAACATAATGTTGGATTTATAGACAGAGCTAGTAGTGTACATACAATACCTAAAGCCACTAATACTCATAGCATTTCGGGCAAGGTGTGGGGGGAAAAAACACTTAGACTAAAACTTAATAGTACAGTAATAGGCATTAGGTATAAATTGTGTTGAAAGAAGGAATAAAAAAAAAAAAAAAAAGGGGGGTAACATAGCAGAAATCAGCAATTGTACACGTTGGTGAACAACCAGCATTGTTTACAAAAATAGCAAGACATGGGTTTGACATTTAGGGGGTAAGGTAGGTTACATAGAGTTATAAAATTAGGTAGTAATTGGTTTTACTCTTAAACTGGTTGGGGTACAGCCTTTGACATGATTTGGGAGGTCATTCCACATTCTGGGTCCCTTGATTTGTAGAGCACTAATAGTTTGGTTACACAACCAAATTGTGTAACAGGAAGAGGTCTTGGACACAAATTTGTTCCATGCTAAATGTAGAGGAATCAGCTGAGTATTCCTCAAATAAAATAAGCTGCCTCAGCTTATAAAGTAAATAAAATAAGCATTTCTCAAATAAGTAGCTTCCTCACCTCACTGCCTTACTGCTACATAGCCTTCCTGGCATTGTGCCTTCTTTTGATAATTACTTGTTCCACACCCAAGTTGTGTAACAGGAAGAGGTCTTGGACCCCTACTTCGCTCTCTCTTTTTTAATAGTCCATATAGTCATAATTATAGCTTTAAGTATTCAATGAATAAAGTTTTTGACATTTTTACCCTTCTTACCTAACATCATTTGTGGAGCATATTTATATTTTATGTCTCTCCCAGATTTAATTTAAAAATAAAACCAAAACTAAATAAATTAGAAATGGGTATGTATAGCTAAGGTACACCCTTACTACTAGGTGAACAGGGGCATTTAGTGATAGTAAATGATCCCATCAAGCAGGGGCTCATCACCTCTCATATTTCATGTTCACCAGTGTTTATTTACTTAATAACTACTGGTATAATATCTTGCTATTATAAAACTAATTCTAATATCATAAAAGACATATTTACTCAAAGTTTCAAAACAGAGAATGCATATATAACTAACATGAAGGACTCCTCTTCACGAGATTCAATTTTTATAATCTTTTATTTGTTCCAAAATCTTAAAATCGATCCCAGTGTTATGTAGTGGAGAAAAATTTAGTTATATCCAGTTTACGTAAAGCTACGAGAGGTCGACACCACACTTAGATGCCGGACCAAACTTACGAAGGTTTTTCGCCTTAGTGTAGCTACCTGAATACCGACGTAGCCGCCACGAAGGCGCTAAGAAGGAAAACATTCGTAG